TTGAAAATATGTGACGTGGTAATTTCACTGCCTTCAACAATAAGACTCCTGTACTTATAAACAGGCAAGTGTTTAACTGCACAACATAGATAAGATACTAGGAACTGAGAAGTTGATTTCCAAAGCAATGGATAAACACAAAGAAGCATGCAAGACTTTTTTCCCCTTACTGAACTTCAGGTTATGGAGTTTTATGACTGCCAATACCACCTCTTGATAACATCCATATCTCAGTAAGGAAAAACACAGAATCAGTGCCGGTCAGTTGAGGCTCCTTAGCAGAGTAGTGTTAAATTTAAAGTCAGATTGAATTTTCCAGGCTGGTGAATACAGAGAAGCTAAGTGTTCAGCATTATTATCGTTGCATCACTCTTATACACCTAAAAACTAAAGGGAGGGGAAAAGCTTTTATTAAAAAAACATGTTTTGATCATATCTGTCATGGTAGGAAAAGCATCTTCCTCTACTCACATCCTGTTTATCAGTGTTTAAGTGTCAAGTTTGAATTCGAAACAAGTGAAAGTGTAGTGAATGTATTTAATTAGTGTAAGTCTTAAGTAACATAAATCCCAGTATCTCAGACTGTTTTTTATATTTTATGGAGAAGGAGACAAACAACCACAGACTTCTCAACAGTGTAAACTATGGAGGTATGCAAATATAACATCATAAATAATAATGTAACACCATCCTACTGTAAATTTGGGTATAGATAGGTATGAGGATTTACTATAAGCTAAATATTGAGAGCTCGATGCATGTAAAAAGAAGCTATCTAGTGACAGAAAGATTTTTCTAGACAATATCAGCATCACATTCAGCAATGACCTTTTTTTCATCATTCATTTCTGCATCTTTCTACAAACATTAATAAGTATCTTTTGTCTCATCACTTTTGTCTTCTGCCTTGATGAATCAGATTTTACCATTTCCAATTACACCAATCCAAATGCAAAAGTATGGATTGTATTTAGGCCTAATTTCCTGAACTATGAGAAGTGTTACAATCTTGTGTCATCTCAATGAAGTATAAATCGAGGAGCTTGATCTTCAGATCTCCACCACTAGCATTCCCCCACAATGTCAGGCAAACTGCTTAAGCACTTTGTACTGTTGTTTCCCTGTCTATAAGACTTTTTGAGGTTGAGAGATGAAAGAAGCAACTACTGCAGTTGAATTTCAAGGCAGAATTATGAACCTACATTACAGGGTGGCATGTCCTATAAAAAGTAAACATTTCCAGAACTAAAGAAACAGACAGTGATTCTTAAGAGAATCACCCAGCAGTTAAGAGGATTTGTATCTCTAAGCAGGGCTTTACTACACAAAAAGAGTATGTACAAACAAGGCTAGTGCTCAAACAGGACCGACTATGTAGCGTGCTTCAGTTATTAAATGCTTATTCTTTTTCTATACTTGTAGTAACTCCTGACACCAAGGATGGAGCTGTAACACCTGTCTATGTTAAGGAATGGACTGGAAAGCACCTTAGAAGTTGAGAGCTTCCCTCCACAAAGGTATTCTCTGCCATGACAGAAAACCCCCAAACAAATTAAAACCAGACCAGTGATTAGGAAATGTCCAGGCTAGTACTAATGACAAGACAGCAGGAAGACTCTAGTGCCAGCTCACACACCTAAAGGACTGCACTACACAGTGGTTACTGTGGCCTAGAAGCCGCATCAAACACTGAACCACCTCCTTTCAAACATTTATGATCAGGACTAGTCCTTCTCTGTATGGCATTTTAAACAACAGGAAAGGATGAAGCAGGAGAATGGCTAAGTAGCTTTTTAAAGAAAACCATGAACAGAAAGAAAATTTATGACTGCACGCAGAGCTGCAAAGAGGGAAAATGAAAATCCAAAGCTTCAGTAATGGCTGAAATAAGTTTCCAAATAAAACCTTCAATGCAAGGGACAGTCACCCTATAATTGTTGTGAATGTATTCAGACAAGAAAACATTCTGACCATAACCTGAAAAGTAATTGTTCTTGTAAGCAGGGTAAATCAAACGATGGGTGTTTATAGATTGGTTTGTTTTGGTGGTGGACTTTCCCTTCCTTTTATATTATTGAGCTACTATTATTTGAAAATCTTGATGCCTGTTGAGTCATCTACATCTGGTATATATCTTGCAACTGTGGGGTACATCTGAATGCGTTGAGATAAAAGAGGAATTTTTAAGGAAACAAAAGCCAGTGAAAGATTGTGCTCCTGTGTGTGGACTTTGGGAAAGGAACTTAAGTGTTTTTCACTCTGCCAATCAGATCTAGTAGTGACAGCAAACGTGATTATTATTTGATGCAATTTTTCTACTTGAGCAGATGGCCTGTTCCCTAGATACTACTTCAGTGATGTCTTCCTAGAAAGGCAACAAACAAATTATGGTAGTCACCCCGATCGGACACTTCCAGCTCCCCTGAAACACGAGTGGAAAGGCTGGGCCCACAAAGGGGAAGGTTTCATTCTTCGTGAAGTGGTAAGAGACAGGCCACAGGACTCGACACAAGCACTGCCACCACAGACCCAGCCACCTAGCCACACGTCAGCTGCAGTTCTAGAGCAAGAGAGAGGCCAAGGCAGCACAGCGCTAGCGCTTGCACTGTGAAGACACTACAGAAGTCTCACGCCAGTTATGTGACACTTGACAGGCTGCAGGTTCCGAGGTCTGCAAGCTACTAGTATCCACTCGTTAGAACAAGCAGAATTTTAGATTAAGAAGACAGGACAGGAATAGTGCAACATGCCTAGTGCTTCCACTTCCTACAACAGCAGAGTCTGCCATAAAGACCTCCAATCCTTACACCTACAGAAAACAGACGTATGGATGGGTTTAATTTTATATGGAGGAATAAATACAAAATATTGCAACTTGCATAACATAAAGACACTATAAACTCCTCCATCTTTTTCCCTCTCTCGAAGACATGTCTCCAGTCAGTGAAAATCCCAGATGGCAATTGCAAGTAAGGCCATCAACAACTTTACAGTGGCTTCAGTAAAACTATGGTCCCTTAAGAAGAAAAGGAAACGCGTCTTTGATTCTAAAGGTTAATTCTCATTTAAAGCTCCCCCACATTTCTCACCTATGAGTGAATGTGTTTTACATGGGTAAGCTTAGCAAAGAATCACAGCCTTTTACTGGAATTTATAATTCATGAAACAAGATCAAAAATGTCAATAGCAAACACGTTGAAAAGGTGCCATCTGAAAATATTCCCTTGAACTCATTTGACCAAGGCTATTGTTTGGAGTTCAAAAAAAAAAAAAAAAAAATCACACCTGTGTGCAGATAGATAGGCTCTCTTTATCTGGTAAGAACAAGGTGCAGAGACGTGTGTGATAGATAATTAATCTCGATTGCTATCTATAGTTTCATTGTTAACACTGTCTTGGTTGAAGTGTGAAAATATGTTCACACTTTTGAAAATGGGCGATTAACTAATCAAATGACAATATGAATCTTAGAAGCACAGAAATGACTGTCATCTAACACTTCTTATGACTATATATTTAATTTTACAAGAAAAACGTTATATCAAGCATCCTTCAAGACTATAAGGGAAGTTACCAGCTCTTCCCTACTGTAATAATCAGTGCAAAAATTGCGACCACCATCACCAGTCTATTTTCACTAGAGCACCCAGTATTTTACCCTCAGGGAATTAATTGCAGGGAACATTTTCCTTGTATAGACGAGTTCCAAGAGACTGTAACAGACAGATGACATAAGCAGCACTGAATAACGAGGGGCAGACACTAGTAAGCAGTAGTCACTGTCCCATTAAGGCCCTGTCGAGGAACAGTTGTGTGTATTAAGTACTCCTGGACTTACATCAATGCCCCAGGAGATATCCCAATTAAGCAAGTTTTCTGGGTAAGTATGTCAGTTAAATGAAGCCTATGGTACTGACTTGTATTGAAGTGCTACACAGAAAAAGCTCACACATTTCACCAGAACTTCACACGGCTGCAGAACTTGTGCAAGTTTCGTACTTATAAAGATTTGACTAAACACAAATTACATACCCCAGATGTCACATCCAAACTCTCTCCTGGGATGAGAGTTAGACCTCACGTTTAAGGAAGACCAATTTTGCACTTTTTTTTTATTTTTATTTTTATTTTAATTAAACCATCCCTTTATATCCTTGGATGGTCCCACAGGATAGAGTTCACAAAACAGGCATTTCCACATTAATGAGGGAAGTAAATCTATCTCTTCTCTCTAAATAGGTCGATGATCTTACTAACGTCTAGACTGTATATAAAAGCATGCAGAACATGTATTTACAAAGTGTCTAGCTTTCTTATCGATGCTACTAAAATTGTTGACACGGCTCTTAACACTTCACATCTCTAACACAGTAACTTCCTTTTTTCTGGTGGTGAATATTGCTCTGCTTATATTCATTCAAACTGCTATAAGAAAATAATTTTATTGTGTCACTGAGTCAGCCACTGTACCACCTCCTGGGATCACTGCACTGACTCCCAAGTCAGACACAAGGTATTTATCTTAATTTAAAGCCCTTTGTGGACAGTTTCTGTCTTACTTATGCCATTTCTGCTCCACATGTCAGTCTCATTTACTTACCTGTCAAGATAACACTTTCTCTGATACTTTCTCTTTTCCAATACTTTCTAATAGCCCGAAATAACACGAAACTATTATTAGACCCACATCTGCATATGCCCTCACTCAAAAACTATTTCTGTGCTATTTTTCAAGAACAAAGTTGTTCTATCGATTTTTTTTCCTCTGTATTTGTTTTCATTTCCCCAAGATGTTTCTTACTGCCTTGTAGTTCTTAGCATTCTTCATTCTTGTCTGCTAGACATAAAAATAAGACTTACAGAAAAATCCTGGTTTTGCTTTCCAGGCCTGTTACTGGAAGAAGAAGCAAGAGAGGACAACTTCCCCGAGTTACAAAGGTGTTGGACTTTTTGTATTTATTGTATTCACCAAAGAACAGAAATACTACTTCAAAGCAAAGTTCTGTTTAGCTTAGTATCCCATTCCTGAAAACTGTAACATTAACACAATACACAGAGCTGACATGTGAGTTCAACGATCTTCGTCTTAAATAAATCTTCACAGTTATGATTCAGCAGAGCATGTATAAAGACTAGTAGCCATGAGTTTAAGAGCAGGAAAAATTACTAATGTCAATTATTTATTTATTTATTTTAAATTCAACTTACTGTTGTAAGTGTACACTTTCCTTTTTGGTTTTCTTGCTGAAAGCTCCTTTTTGTACCATGTATTTTCTTGTATTTTCTCATTGGATATACATAATAACTCTTCACAGATTTGCTGATTTTTTGTTTTTAACACTCTCTTACATTCATTGCAGAAGTGGCATAATCCAAAACCCCTTAATAAAACAAATACACATAAATTGACATGTTGCATTTTCACAGCCCTGTTCAATTAAAATTTTCAAATCAGTGTATAAACATTAACTGAAGCAGTATAACTTAAAGTTACAGAAAGCAACTGTAATATCCACATTTTACTCTAAGGAATGAGATCAAACTTGTGGATAAAAAAAAAAAAAAAACAAACCCAACCCCAGCATAAAGACACTTAATGCTCTAGATCAGTAAGGCCAAAAGCATTCGTGTGGAAGATCTTGCCTACATCACGCTCTACTAATTTCTGTGAACGTATCAGCATGAAGAACTTGGCTCTTAGCATGGTCTCAAGTTGAAACAATCCATTTTCAAATAAATGAACTGAATTTTCATATGGGGTAAACAATGTAAATCTGGGGAAAAACTGTGGACTTGAAACTTTAATGAAAATTTATTTTAAGAACAAATGACATGGTAATTGTGATCAAAATGTCTCTTACCGATTTTTTTCTAGACTCCTTATCTATTTGATTTTTGGGGAAGGCTCCAGGACATCCCACTTCCCTGAGAACGTAATGTTTAAAGCTCACATTTTCACTGAACAGGAAGTAACAGTGCAGGATAACTGAACAAATGCTATATTTAGAATAATTTTTGCAGTCTTGTGTAAGAGGCTTCTGCATAATATGACTAATTTTCCATATCACCTCTCAGCGTGAAATCTGTTGAAGACAGGAAAAGAGGGTAGTCTCTTTGAAAATTCTGGATTGTATTTGTCAAAATAAGTCCTGACTTTCAGCTATGTCTCATTTTTAACTTCTCTTAATTTCTGGGCAATTGGGTTTTTAAATGTATGGTAATTTCTTACAGTTTTTTTATTCTATGTTTTGTTTCTGGAAGCTGTCAGCTTTGCCTCATGCCACCAATAACTAAAGAAAGACTGGTCAGTTAAATGTCCTACAAACTCATAAATAAAAAATACCACCTGAATGACTCCTTTGCCACTAAAGTATACTTCGCATGTGTCTTAATGCTTACACAAGCAGACCAAAAGGACACACAGATAAACCAGTCATTTTTAACAGTATTAATCTTTCAGTGACACTATACAAGAAAGCATTTTGTATTCTATTGACCTTCTAATTCGTATAAACGCTTTTCATGAGCAATCACACCGTTATTCAAATTTTGCCTTAAAACCTGCATAATTTTAATAACCACGCAGCTACTAGCCCATATTCATTCCTCTATAGCACACTACACGCATCTGTACGAGCTTCTGATTGCCAGCATTTATTATGCAATGTTTTACATGGCAAGGTCCCGCTCTTATGTATGAAATGCTTGAAAAAAAAAATGCCAGGCTGTTGGCACAATATCCAATGGAGATACTGGAAACTTGATGGTGAACTGCACAAATAGAAGTATAAAAAAAAAAAATGTAAACTGTAAGTAACCAAGGTATGGAGAAACCCAACTGCTGGCATTTCGCTAGGCTGACCACCATGCCAACAGGAGCTTCCACAGTAATATTTTGCCCGAGTTTCTGGCGGGGCACTAAATTTCCTGATTCTTCTCCATCACCTGAACATCTGTCGCAGGTCCGTGGTCCCAGAGGCAGAGTCGGGAGGCAGCGTCTCCCGCCCACGGACGGGGAAACCCTTTTGAAAGAGCACATCGACCGACTCATCGATAAAAGCGGCCGCCCTTGCGATTCCCCCACCTCAAGCCCTCGCCGTGGAAGCCGCGGGCACCCCAAGGGCGCCGCCGGGCCCGCAGCCCTCTCAGGGGCTGCACCCAGACCCGCGGGGGACCCCCACGGAGAGAGACCCCCCCCCCCCCCCCCCCCCAAGGACCCGGCGCCCGCCCGCGCCCCCTCAGCCTGCCTCGCGCTCCCTCGCCGCCGCCCGGCGCACGCGCCCCTGGCTCCCGCTCCCTGCCCGGGGCGGGACTGAGGGGGGGGGGGGGGGGGGGGGGGAAACCGCGCCGCTCCGCGCCTGCGCAACAGGGGGCAGGGGAGGGCTGCGCGCTCTGCGCAGCTGCCGCTGCAGCGTGGAGCCGCCGATGGAGCCTCCCCCCGGCGCCGCAGGTAGGGGCGGCCGCGGTTCGCGCGTGTGTGTGTGTGTGAGGGAGGGAGCAGGGGGGGGGGGGGCGGCGGCGGCGGCGGGGGAGCGCCCCCTCTTCCCTTCCACCCGCCGCCCGCCTCGCCGGGGCTTCCTGTGGGGAAGTCCCCGTCGCTTTTCCCTCACGTACGCCCGGCTGGGCTGCACCGCCGGGCCGCTGCTGGGAAGGGCCACCCTGAGGTGGTGGGGGGGGGGGGGGGGGGGGGGGGGCTGCCCCGCCGCCCTCAGCGGGCTCCTGGCGCCTTCCTGCCGGGCAGCGCTCGGCCCCGCCGCGCCCTCCCGGGCATCGCGTCGAGGTGCCCGCGGGGCCTTTCGCCGCGCCCGCCGGGCCTGCTGGAGCGAAACACCGGGGTTACGTGATCCTCGGCTTTCGGTTCGGCCAAGGCCGCGTCTGAACAGTTACAGCCCCGAAGCGAGTTGGAGCACGTGCGGCCCCGCAACGTTCGCTCGCCCGCCCTCATCCTGAGGCAGGTGCCCGCGGCCGGGCGCGTTGCTGTTACGAGGGGAATCCCCCGGCGGAATGAGCCCGGGCAGGCGTGGGCATGCTGCCGCCAGCTCGGGGTGTTGAGGCACCGGTGGCTGGTGGTAAATCAGCGGTCGTGACTCTGCACCTGGGTCCATGCGGCCTGTGGCCGCTTCTCCAAAAGCCGAAGGATGCCGGCCAGGCTCTTAGTTTCCGATGGAAATCTGCCTTGGGCCTGGATCTCCAGGCCCCGCAAACAAGGCCTCAGTAGTAGAGTAATCAAGTTCTGGTTCTCTTGACCGTATCATCTAAGCATTATTCTGGTATTAACTTAAGAAAGTGTTATAAAACTTACTGCTGCATTTCAAGTGGTGGTTCTTCATCTACCGTGTAATTTTGCTTCCCAGTTGTCCTTTGGAAATAGTCTTGTTATCGCAGCAGCTTAATTCAAACTGTTGTGCGTTCAGTGTAGAGCTAAAAGGATGGCTCCAAACACTGAAGTTCATCAGCGTTCTGCTTCCCTATTTATGTCAATAATGACATTATATGTCCCTCCTAATCCATGTTGTAGTTGTATGTTAGCAGTGGTCAGACGACTAAGGATGTACTTTGGGTACATGCTGTGTGACACCAATACTGAGAGGCTGATCTGCTGAGCACTGGCATTGCTTACTGACACCTCTCTAAATCTGCTATCTTGTTATCCAGTATCTTTTGCTTACCTCGCCCCCGCTTCAGTCCCTGGCTGTTCTGGCTCTTTTGAAAACCTCAGAATGTGAACTAAAAGCGGAGATGTCTGAGTGAGGTTGTAGAGGAACTGGAACAATAGCTGCAAGAGGTGTGAGCTGCCCTGTTCATATCAGTAAGGTGTTAACTCAGATACCCCAGTGTGGTAGTTTTTAACGTCATCGTTGTTAACTGCCTCTTGGCTCGTATATGAGAAAAAAGAGGGAGAATCACTGTTTAGTAAATTGTTACCATGACTGATGCTTCATTTTATGGCCACAAAAGACACAAATACTCTCATGGCTTTGCCAGCCGATAGGGAGAGAATATCAGGGAGTCCCCTGAAGCTCAGAATGTACAACCTGTGAATTCTACTGTGATTTGTATGGGAGGAGTTTTTTGATAGCCACACTTTGGGAAAGAATTGTGTCTGCGTCACTAGGTGACTGCATCCAGTAAATAAATTGGTAGATAAATACATCGTCAAAATCTTATGTTACACTGTTTTATTTTATATTTCTTCATTATGAATGTGCTGCAGCCCAGCACTGAAGCTGATTTTTGTGTACAGCACTTCCAAAACTCTGTAGGGTGCTATTTTCAGTTGTAGAGGTCATGAGTTATTAGAAAGCTCATTTTTGTTTTAATGTACACTTGGTTGTAGCTGTGATTTTCAGATGGTGATGTCTGGATCCCTAGTTGAAGATTCACAAATGTGAAAAAAGAGAAAAGCAGGGTTATTCACAGTAGCTTAGCTACACAATGCATTTTTTTTTACCTATCTTGGACATTTTTTGGGGTCTTAAAACCAGAGGCATTGAAGACTGATATAGTAATTTTCCTAAGGTACTTAAAATGTCTGTTTCTTACTGTCGTGTGGAAATCTAGGTTGTTAAATACAGCAGCAGCATATCAGTGTAAGGAGAGAACTGGGCTTGCAAAATGGTTGTGACTTGTTTCGAAGTGGCATGGGCAGTAAGAGCTAGGGGAATATACTGAAAGGAATGAAATTATAGCTTCAGAAGACAGAAAGGGAAAAATAATGGGAGATAAAGCAATGTTGAATTTAGAGGGGAAAATATATAAGTAAAGGAAGAACAGTTTCAGATTTTAATTAAGCATCTTTTAGATAATTTTTGTGATTAAGAACGTAAGTTGCCACTGTCAAGAAGGGAGTTGAATGAGAATGACCTTTTTGATATTCTTAGTGTCTTTGATCTGTATTTGAAACGTGAAGGGAAAAGATATTTGTGATTTCCTGAAGTTATTTGACACCACATTTTAAATAACTGTTCTGGGAAACGAACTGAAAAATAAAAGATGTATTTGGACGCTTTTTATAATACTGAACGGCTTGAAGGGATTCTTTAGAGTTTAAAATCCAGAATAACATCTGCAATCCTTGATTTAATGTAACCAAAAGTCTTTCAGCCTTCTCTTTGTGTCAGAACACCTCATGCTCTGCAACTTTTGAAAACGGTGGTGTGTTTTGATCATATCCATGATGTTAGTTTCCAAGATCTTTATTCATTTGTATTAGATGTACTGATTGTTCACTAAATACATATGTACAGAAGTCAAAGGTAGGCATTGTTTTTTCTTGTCTCTTAGTCCCTATTCCCAGTTTTAAAAAAAAAAAAAAGGCAGGAAGAATGGTGTTTGGAACTGTTATTCAGAAGCCTTGCTTTTAATTTGTGTGTAGTGTTCATTACTTGGAATGGAAGGTGTAAATTTTATCTTGAAGGAAGTGATTAAAGAGCTAAATATTCAAGCTCTCAAGGAGTTTGAGCAGATTTTTTTTAAATTGAACTTTTATTTGTGATTTACTCTGCTTTTCTTTACGCCTTATCACACAATTCTGAAAATTAGTAGAGAAGAGTATGTAGTGCTGGAGCCACCAATTGGTGTTATTTGTCGTGGTGGGAAACATTAGGTGTTTAGCACATCATCCTGTAATAATTGGAGGGTTTCATTGGTTGTTAGATTTTCCTGCATCCCTTCTTCATCCAGATGTTGGGTACTTTGCTCTTTCTATGTAGATTTTACCTGTTACTCATCTGTTTTTTTTTTTTTCCTGATACAATTTATTGCACAGTTCTTGAGGTCACTGCTTAGCTCTATTTTATGTGGTCTGTTTGGTTTATATCCCTCAGATAGATTGTGATTTTTGCAGGACCTTTCATTATGTCTTACTCCATGTGGAAGTAAGCAGTACATTCTTGGACAACATCCACTGTTGGTTAGGTCATAGAAGAAAGAGAGATTGTATGCTCGTGACTAGTTTCAGACAAGAGGCACTCTAAAGTTTAGGCTTCAGTTAAAAAATGTGGAAGCCTACGTGTAGGAATCCAATTGTATCTGTGCTGTTACTGTATTTTTTTCTGTCCCCCAAAAACCACCCCAAGTCTGTATTTGGTTGCTGAAATATTGCTGCATGGTGTCCTTCTTTAAGTGACAGTGGGTTGTGTTGTGGATTTTACATCAGTTCCCAAGTGAAGCATTCAGAAGCCTTGCAATGGTGGATTTGAGGCTGGCTGTGCTAATTTAGTCCTTGGTCAGTTCATGGCCCTAGTTACTGACATTGTGTTTTGTGCATTTTGCTGGAATCCTCATCTACAGTTGTCAGAAGGGGTTTGAGGTGGGGTGTTCCCCTTATAGATAGCTCACACCCTAAGTTTTCCCAGCTGGCAGGTCTGTCATACCTGAGCAGTAGCTCAGGCTAGGTGTTAAGGAACCTATATTATTTTCAGTAGTAAATATTAAGACCTGATCAGTAATTAATTTTGGGGCCCTGTAACTGTGATCAAGAGTGTAAAAAAAAATCTCCTTGTGTCAAAAATCTTCGCAAGCAACTTCAGGCTTGGCTTTAGTTATTAATCACTAGATGTATGAGCATTTGCAATCCACATGTAATTAACAAATAAGTGTGCTTTGTTTGGTCTGCTTTTCCTTTTCTTTCTAGATATTACAGACTTGCTAGAATGTAGCCATTGTTCATTTTTAGCAAACAAGCTTGTCAGTATTCTTGTAATCCAGTGCTACCATATTGCAAGAACATGAGCCCCAGAGCAAAATGTAAGATAACAAATTCAGCCAGTGAAAAAGGTGAAAATTGACTTTGAGGTGATGATAGAATGGTGAGAAGTTAAAGCTTTGGAAATTTTCCCTGGTGTTGTCGTCCCTGTACTCCATCTTAATTTAAAATGATGTCAGTATTAGATAGAAAGATCTCAAAATCTGTAACTTTTTAAATACAAAAAAATTTATTCATACACATTTAAAGAAGAAAAATTGGTTGCTGTGTAGAGAATCTGCCCGGATCAGCCGCTTTTGCTTTAAATCAGAGTTTCAGGATATCATGTGTGTCATTTCACTTGGATTATAATACTTCTGCCACTTCGTGTTGTCCTTCTAAACCTTAGTAGAGAGCAAAGTACTTAAGACTCTAGTTCATATGTGAACACCTATGGGCAAATGAAATTGCCCAGCTTAGTAGCATTTCATGTATGCGTAAAGGTGTTTGGTCCTGGTCCCTCATCAGTCCGTTCACACTGGATGTTTTTGACTGATAAAATCCTTCTGAATGTTTTTGATGGGACCGAGGTTATAAAACAGTATGCTGCAACTGTTTGTCACTTTGTCCCCATGAACCTCTGGGCAGTAAGGGCACAGGAGCCCCTGCACAGGCTACAGGGTTGGGTACTTAAACTATTAATTACATTCATACATAAAATTACAATTGTGGGAAAAAAAACTCTTAAGCTTTAGAAACGTACATTATTTTTCCTCTCATGACTTTAATGGGTCTGTCTGTAAATTAATTTGTTTCAATGTGTGACTCTGTGTTTTCAAATAGAGGTTTTAAGTAGTTGATAATAGATTCAATGACACAGACTTTTTTGATAACTGTTTTTATGATGCACATATGTGCAAATGAGTTTGCATGAATTAAAGTAAGATTGGTAACATTTAATACAAGTGGATAAACTGGGCAGAATAAAGGATATGAAAATTTTGAATTGAATGCATTCTTTTCCTGGACGAGTAGTAAGCTATAATTATCTTTGCCTATTCAAAATCCTGCTACAAGTACAATAAAATAAATCTAAAATGATTTTTGAAAAACATTAACCTCTAGAGACAGTAGTCTGATTGATGAAAGGAATGTTTGCCAATAAGCGTGCAATTAACGCTGCCGCTACTTCTGTTATTAATAAAAGTATACTTTTTCAGTGTAGTTTCATGATTATCTCACAAGCAAGTGTTTTAAAATAAAACTTTGGGATGAAATGGAGTATTTACAGTACAGAAATAATTTTTACCAAGTGATATGAAAAATAACTGAATCACCAAAATTAATGCACTTACGCAACTTAGCTATAAACTTGTTACTTGCTCTCTCAAATAAGGGAATGATGGATAAACTCAAGTTTAGTAGGCTCACCACAAGCGATGGCAAGACCTCCCCTTCCAGGAAAAGACCTGTGTTATACTTCTTTAGAGTGGAGATTCTATTTAAATGTTGTATAAGTTAAAGAATGGGAATTCTGCACGTATCGTCTTATTTTTCTTCCCTTTCACTGTAATAACTATTATTTCTGCTTCTGAAGTTTTCATGAATACTTTTTCAAGTTCTGTTTGTTAGCTTAAAAAAGAAAGGCATCTTAGAAATCTGCTCACTGACAACTGCTTATGTTTGATGGCAGCTGGCAGGAAAAAAAATAGTAAGGTGTATTTTAAAAAAAAAAAAATCCCTTTTATGGCTTCACTGTTCTGAACCAAAGCCCCAAAATAATGAAAGTGATTATTTTAAAGTGTTTATATTTGGAAGAGTGTTGTATTTTTTTAACTTTGATTCTTGAACCTGGACTGAATTTCTACAGCTTTTTTGCTAGTAAATAACGTAACTGATGTCTAACAGTTGATATAACTGGGACTTCAAGGCAAACGTGAGGTATAACAGTTGCTAATGAAAATGTTAAAAACTTAATAAAACTTTATCCGTTCTTCATATATACCGTGATTCTTTCTGAAATAGCTATAATGTTTGAAGTACTAATTTGAGCTATTTTTTTAAAATGTGCATAGATAGACTGAACAAAGAAAACCCAAATTACAGGTTGTATAATGAGAAATGCATGTTTCAAAAACTGATACTGGAATTGCTTGACTTGCTTCCTCTTGGATGCAGAAGGTACAGGTACGAGGCTTCTGTAAATATCTGGGTAGACAAGTTTTCAGCTTTTTCTCAACTCTTCTGAGTAATCTGTGTCCCTGCTACCTGAAGTCATGAGAGGTGAAAGAAGAGCTGTAAACTACCAGCAGTATGTAGTGGCGTAAAGGGTGAATAAGTCAGTTACCCGCTGTGTTGAATGAAGAGGGGACGATACAACTTTTCACGGGCCACTCTTCTAGGAAAGCTTTTGTCTTGACATTCCCTTTTTGTAATAGTCTTCTAATTAATATGACAAGCCACTAGAGTTCCTTTCATTGTAAGGACTGTACAGCAGCTTTGTATTTCATTCTTCTCTTGTTCTCTTGAGGGTTTGCTGTCTACAGCACAGGTCTGCACCGTGGTCCTCTCTTTCTCAAGGCCTTCCTGGACCCTGTGGTCAGAGGCTAGAAAGCCAGGAGAGTATTTGTCATCTGTTTTCCGAGCTTCCATATGGAGTGAATTTGATGTGTATTCTGTGGTGTTCTGGTGGTTGTGATGCTGTCATTCTTACTGATGCATTTATTGACTGATTTTTTGGGGGGTTATTTTGACAAAAATATTTAAAACCTTTAAGTCGAATGGCTGTGGTCCTTGGCCTTCCATGGCAATAAATAGCATTTGCAGCTGAGGGTTTTGATTAACCACAGAAAACTATTACAATTGTAGTCTTGTGCCTAACATATTGTATCCAACCAGAGAAACATTTCAAGCATTGAGATTTGCCAAAACCCACAGATTTTATATAAAAAAAAAAAAAAAAAAAAAAAAAAGTTTTAAATGTGTTCTTAGTGTCTTGCTGAATGGGGATATCTCCCAGTTTAATAATGTTTCCTTCCTTTAATTCTTTACACTGGGCTGAGGTGGTACAGAGAACAGTTTCTCTTTCACAGAGGTATTCCCTTTTTTGTAGTTTTCTCTCTTTCTGTCTTTTTTTCCTGGCAATTGCAAGCTTACAACCTCTACAATGGTTCTTACCCTATCCTCCGTTCTTCATCCCCATGAGGAGCGGTAGCATCCTGGAGTGTTCTGATCTCTGTCTTTAGGAAACATTCTGTAGTTTCATTGCACAGATTCCTTGGCTGTAGCCTTACTCACATTTTCAAGGAGCTAGTGACTTAGATGCTGTAACACCTGCAAGCCTGCATTTGGTTTTAATTCTGGCTTAACTTCTCCGTATATTTTTACAAAATACTGAATTTTTATTGTTAATTGTATTTAGTGTGCTTTTTGTAACCTTCACTCAATTAACTTGTGTTCATCCATCTGTCCCTTGCAATGTTTGATAGCACGAAGAAATGTCAACAGAATGTAAGGTAGAGGTAGAACCTCAGAGTATTGTTACCCTTAACAAACATGCCTGAGTTTTGGCTAGTGGGGGAAGAAGGAAAAGCTGCTGCTAAAGTTTATCTGGCCCTCTGGAAGCTGGGAGGCAGAGTGTTTTTGTTGGTTCACTTTGTGGCCAAAGGCCGTGATCATCCCTTTCCTGGTCCTTTTATATTGTTACACAGTGAACTGGATTGGAGAATTTGTCTGGCTGAAAAACTGCCTGACAAGAAATGAATTTACCTTTACACCAAATTAACTTCCCTTTTCAGTTCCCCACAGGGCTGCAGAGCACATCTGTGTGGGCAGAGGGGAAGGAGCACCCGAGGGGTCGGGAGAGGCAGGGCTGCAGTAGTGCCAGCTTGCTTTGACTGGAGTCCTGCAAGGGGGAGCTGGGGCACGTAGCCTGGTGGTGCTGTTTCCTGCCATGTCATTCAGCTGAACTGATTTGTCCTGCGTTTTAAAAGCATGTGTAAAATTTGATGAGAGCTTTGTGTTGTCTGTAACATAGTAAGTGCTCAGTACAGGAATTGTACTGATATTCTGCAGAAAGTTAAAATGAAGGAAATTTAGTTGTAGTTATTTTATCTCACTCTTGAAAATTAGAGCATAGAAGCAAATCTAAGTTGTGAGCTGTTTGTGTTTGGTATTTTTGTTGTATTTACGGAAGACGGTTTGTTTTCTTTTTTTTTACTGTAGAAATTTCAAGTAAGAGATTTTTGAGAAGCTAGTCTTTAGTTCAGGTTCTATATGTTGCTTATTGTAATCCTCTGTTTCATTACCTGATTCCCCTAGTAACAGCACAGATTGAATAGTGTGTAACTTCATAATATAACCTCATAGGATTGGTAATCTTTAAAACATGAGGAGTTAGAAATGACTAGAGAAATGTTAGTGTCTTGCCTTTTGATCTAGAAGTAACTGCAGGTGCTCTGAAAAATAGATAGTGTTTGAAAGTGGTAGGTGACTTAAATTCTGTTTCTTTTCCTAATTTCAGTATATCAAACTTCTGATTTCTTTCATCTAATTTCTTTTATAAGTGATTTTTAAATGACAGTATTATCACTCAAAGTAAGTGTATCTGCCGTTAGAGTTTTTGTAATGCGACCATCACAGCTGATGCTATTCTGAAGCATAATATCAACATCAAAGGGTGAATAAATAGTGTGTTTGAGGAGGAAAGCCAGATATTTGATATAACTGTGTTGGACTATACAATGTTCTGAACAAATATCCTTTAAAGGGGTTTTAATTCAGAAGCGAAGGGGTAAAAAGATGTTCTTGATAAATTCTCATCTCTGTTTTGAAGAAAGTGGATTTGGAAATGCAGTATTTTTTTTCTAACTGCTCTGTGATGTTTAACTATTCATATTCACTAGCTGCACTCAGAGTACTGAATTCTGTTTTGGGACAACTAAAAGCAAACTGCAACTGTACTTCTAAGCACTGAATTCAGGCAGCAGCATTTGTTCTTGTTTTGAATTTCTCAGTGTAAAAACTCCTACATCCTCTAAGAGGCTTAGTTTTTATTTTAAAGAACTGAAGTCTTCCATGTAGCAATACAAATTTCAGGTTGTGCTCCAATATGTGCTATATTTCTCAGCTTTATGACAGTGAGTAATAAAAGCCAGTTTGTAGAGATAATATGCATAGAAAAATACTGGTATCCTGGAATAAAAGTAATTCTAAACCCTTGTATGCAGACTTTCTATTTAGTAAGGCAGAAGTTAGAATGTCCTGCCAGAATTTTCTCCATTATTTTTGGTCCATTGTGCACATTGAACAGAAGAGAAATATTCAGGATAATGCTCCTATTTGTATCTGAGCAATTTTAAGCCTTGGACTTTCTCCCCTTTTGGTCTATGTGGTCTTTCCATGGTACTTTATGCTGCTAGTTTGTGACAGTTTTAATATACTAGTGTATTTAATATATACAATGCTGTGTTATTTCTGTAGATTGACTTTCTCTGATGTATAGATAAGAATTTATTTTTCCCTATTTTTTTTTCACTCTTGCAGAAAATTCTAAGCTGAGACATGTAGAAAAAGATATTTTGATTCCACAAATAATGAGGGAGCGAGCCAGGGAGCTGTGTTCAGATAAAGTGCAAGGTAAGAGTCAAATATTTATTGGGAGATCAGATGTATTCACTTTTGTGCCCTGAATATAAACCTTGTTTCTGAAGTCAGGTATTCAGAGAATTAATATGTATGGTCTGCATCTTATCTGTTCACTGTGAAACCGGTAATAAAGCATATAAATCTGCTGTGTTGGATTTGGCTGCTTGGTGTTGTGGACTATTTTCCAAACTGACTTGTTCTTGAACGCTGTGGAATTTAGTATGATTAATATAAAAACTTCCACATCTCAGTCTAGACTACGTGATGACAGAGCAACACAAGAGTTACTATATTCCAGTGGTAATATTTAATAATTAAATAAATGGAATTCCCTCGGATGAGCCTTCAGTTAGGGCCTCCCTCATTATGATAAATTTATTTAAATGATCCCAAATAAGTACATCCTTTCCCTGCCCCAATATTTTAATGATACATGCACATAACCCATACGTGTTATTAGACAGACATTAAAATATGATGGTGCAGTCCACTTTTGAAGAGTACTGGAAAATAGCTCTTTAAAGTTGGGTATCACCACTTCTGCTGGCACCCAACTGTTCATATATTCCTGGAAGAAATCTGGAACTTTCTGGAGTAACAGAAAGATAGAGCTACTTATGTACAGGTTAGCTGAGAATGTTGCTGCAAGATGGATGTAAGAATGGAAAAAAAAAAAAAAATCAGGCCACAGAATTATTCTATGCAAGTGGCATGCTTTTAGTAGAGGGCATGTGCCTCTTGCCATCTAGATCTGCTCATTCTAAACTTCTTTAATCGTGCACCCTATCAGTAAAAAATTTCTGAGCACACAACTGAGATATGGATAATATATATTTATTTATAAATTCTATATGTGTACCACTGTACTAGTATATTATGTACATTATAAAAAAACAAAAATAGAAATTCAGAAATTATGAGATAAAGATGAAATAAACAGTAATTTTAATGCTAATTATCAGTGGTACAAAAAACTTTTTGCTCTAAAAATATTACTGTTAATAACAGTATTTTTATTGAGAGCTATATGATTGAATATGCTTCATTATTTTTAAAAATTTTTAACACTTTGTGATACAGCAATTCAAATGTCTGGTTCTGAGAACAGTTTATTTCAATACTTGGTTCGAATGGGTGTCACAGCTGAAAAGACACCTCACAAAGATGCGTAGATCCCAATGGAAGAAGGGCATGGTTTCACGTGCCTACTAAAATCATGATACTTATTTTTCAATCCCATCCACAAGTTTTGCAAAGGTTTTGCTTGAAATTGGGCTTGTAAACGACCATCTCCCCTGATGTCAACCAGTTGCTCTTCCAAACTAATCTAGAGGTGTTGCATCTTTATATTTTCAACAAATAGTTTCAAAAACCACTGAAACTCTAATTTGGAAGATTTTTAAACAGGTTAGAAAACTCTGTTTCTGTCCTTTAAAAGTGTCCAGATACCAGAGGTTTTTATAGGTGACAGGCTGACGCTGTGTTCAGCAACAAAGAACAAAACCAAACAAAAATTGCCGAAGGAGGGGAACATGGCCAAACATCTGTTTTCAAAGGGCTCTCTCCACAGCATAAGTTTCTTTTGAAAAGCAGTTACTTTCTCACTGGTTGTTAAAACATCACCTTCACCTTGAAGGGACACACTAAGGGCGTTTATTTTTTGGGAATACCTGCTAAGTAGCAGACTACTCCCAGCCACCTGTCATCACCAAAAGGGTCAGCAAATCTGGAACACTTGTGTTTTTGTAAAGGAAAAGGCATAACATTTGATAACCCTTTTAAGCACTTTGCCACAAGATAACCAGGGATCCTCTCCAGGGCACGAGAGATTGTCATGGTCCCTCCCCATCTCATTGCAAGGATGTGACTGTCTGAAGGGCTGGTTTTTATGCCGTTAACCCCATCGATGCCATCCCGTAACGCTCTGTGCACTCCTGGCTCCAACCCCTTTGCTGCAACAGCTCAGCTCGTCTGTGAGTGATGCAGCGAAGGAGTTTTCACGTGCGGTGCTGCCTCTGTGACCTTACCCTGGAATCCCTTTTTTATTCCAGTCAAAGCAGCCTCTCCATCAGTGGTTACGCTCACACAGTTCTTCCATAAAACAGTGGGCTTTTTGAAAGAAACCATTTCCTGTGGAGAATACATCTTCCGGTACAGCTCTCCTTTAGCAGCTCACCAAAAAAAAAATTAAATACAAAGTTCTTCATGTATTTCATTACTGAAGTTCAAATACCATAAGTTGAGAGAAGTTAGAAACTTCTGTACTTTCACCCAACTGCATGTCAAACCTCCCACACTGTGTAACTTGTTCTAACACTTCTTTCTTCAAATCTTCAGCAGTGTCTTCTGTGCATCTTCCTAGAGTATTTACTGACAAAGGAGTGCATTTTAGTTTGCTGCCGTATTGTTTTGCACATACTATTTCAGCTATTTTTACCATGGCAGAAAGAACATTTGGTTCCCCAATGGTACATGGCTTTTTGTCTTTTGCTATTACCTAAAAAACTTCAAAGGAGGCTTCTAGACATTTATCACTAGGTTTAATTGAAGCAGACCAGCATATTTTCTAGCAGCTGCTTTTAGGGGTTCTCCAAAAGACATAAGAGAGTAGTGCTGTAATAATTTTGAGATAAGTAAGTGGGAAAAGAGTTGGGAATATCTGGCAAAGGAAAGTGGCATCACATGAGAGATAAGTTCTAGTGCTGCCGGAAGGACTTAATATAGCTTTTTTTCATTTGAGTGATAGTTGAATTGTTTTGTACTTTGTACCTGCTGGGGGAAAAAAATGAAAAGGAAAAGCAATTATGTAATATCGTTCACTGAAAGATGTCAGTTAAAAATATTTTGAGAGCATGCTATATGTATAATTTTGCTTGGGGGTAGACCAAAGGGTATGTGTGTTTCTCTCCTCTGAACTTTCTCTTTGTAAGATGAGGACTTCTTTTTCAGCATCTTAATTTTCTGTGGCATCAGCCAATACTGGAGATTATTGAGCTGTGAGTTATGGAGCATTATGTTGCAGTTTCTCCATGGTTTTGCCTCCATAAATTTTAAAGCAAAATTTACTTTTTTTTTTTCTTTTTGTGATGTTACGCCAAAGTATGGGGGTTTTAGTCTTTCTTCTGAATACAGTTCAGTTGTGTATCTTTAGGAAAATGAGATTTTGTGGATGCATCTGTTTTCCCCTCGTTCCTCTGTCACCTGTAAGCCAATTTCAATCAAATTGTGTGAAAATCAGAGGTGGAAAGTGAGTATTTCTGATGCAATTTTTATGATCAAATAAATAAGCAAAACTCACATTGATACCCCTATCAATAAAAGGTGGTAGCATAAGTTCAGCTATTTAGTTGTACATCCTGTAATCTGAACAGGGCGGGAGAGACCAAACCATGGGAAATGAAGCTTAAGCAGTTTTGTGAACAGAAGAATTTATCATCTCTTAAATCTATTGTGAAATTATTCCTGGAATAAATTTGTCTTGTTCGTACACAGGGATAGGTGTTAATCAGAGTAAATAGGCTCTGGTTTTTATGCTGGAAACAATTATAAGCTGTGTAATTAAGTAATCAAAACTGCTGTGATTCGGTTTGTGTGCTGCAGAGTGTACCCATGTGCGTGACATTGTGCCGCTTACACTAAGTGGCATAGCTACTCATTTAACTTGCTCTCACTGTAGGATTCTTCTGCTTTATGTTAATTTTGTTTTAACAACTCCTATTACTACATCATTGTTTCATTTTGTCTTTAGGAAATTGTGGTCAATGCACCGGTAATAGAGGATATAAAACTATTCTAGATGTATGGGCCTTTACAATTTACTTGATCACTCTAGGTTCATATGTGTCCCTATGGGGAGTCCCTATGCATTCAATAGGGCTCTGCATGAGCACAGGGGTCCATCTGTATACAGTCGGTTACCTTAGCCTGCAGCTATACCACCTAGAGCTGTGTGCTTAGCAGAGCTAATAATGCAAGTAGTGACAGTCTGTCCAGCACGTGTTCACGAGCCGTCCAGGGAAAAGAAACCCCAAGGGTTAAAAAATAAATAAAAACTAAAGGTTTTGTTAACTCAAGAGGTGATCCTGCTATCCTAGCACAGTTAAATGGGTGACCCATTGCTGTGCTTGTTTGTTAGTCTACCAGAGTAGCTTAGGGATGAAATAACCATGGAAATGTATCCATCTGATAATTTTTAGAACAAGTAAGTATTGTGTCTGGTCATATTTCATTTCACGTAGGTTATTTAAATTTGCTTTGAACTTTTCTCAGATTGTTCCAATATAGTTCTTGTGTGTGCTGCATGTTTCTCAAGAATTTAGTACATCAGATTTTCAAGCACTTTTTTCAGTGAAAATGGATGTATATAGTGATTTTATTAAGAGGATAAACATGCTTTCTGTCAATTTTCCATGACTATTATGTAATTATGCTTTATTGTGTTAATATACATGCACTGTATGTATGTGAAAGAGTGCACTATTATAGGAGTATCAAGTGTCGTAAAAGAACAGCAAACAAAGAAACCCAACAGCATTGTCATACAGGAACTTTTCACTGTAGAAACTGCAGCGTGAATTTGTCTGAAGTAATATTAAATCCATGTGTTTCTGTATCACTGTGTCCTTGGCTTATAAAAATACAGGCGTTCAAACTGAAGTAGCTAAAAGGAACATTTATTTGCCATTGCCTCATCGATTGCTTTTATAAAGACATTTATTACACAAGCTGTTTTCCTTTAAAATTATAATGGTTTTGGCTTTAACGTCCAGTTACAAAATTTAAATTTGAGTAAACTTCAAAGGAAAATCATAGGAAATTTCAGGAACCTGAAGTTAGCATTTGTTATCAGAGAGGTTCTCTTTTGCTTGTCAGAACTTCTGTGGATTCATCCAACTATGCTGTGCTTTGCACGATTCCTCTCTGCTCTGAAACTAGGGACACTCACTAAAAACACCTGCAAGAGCTTTGGTTGATCTTGATCATAACTACAG